AATCGATTCGGGGGAATAAGTGATTGGTGGGGGTAGGGCTCGGGATGTAGGGGCCATGTCGACTCTGTCGGTTCGAATCGATTCGGTTTGGAGGATTCCGCTGTAGATTCGATTTTATTTTGGATTTCGATGTTGGTTTGGAATAATTCTCTCGAGTTCGCAGACTCCCGCGAACGGCTCGCTGCCTACTTCCGCCCAGGACGGTGCAGCGCGAGGGTGGGGGGCGCGCGGTGAAGACGTGGGCCAGATGCTGAAGGCATTCTGGTTGCATTGCTTGCATGTGTTTTTTTCTCGCTCTGCTCACGCACCAGTTCGTGCAAGGCTTACTTGACTTGATTTGGCTTTCTTCGTGTAAGCCTCGGCTTGGGCTTGCGGACCTCGATTCCAATGCTTTCCGATCTGCTTGCCGATTTCTGCCGATTCGATGTATTTCGATGTCCGATTCGATTTCCCTTCTTATTCTGGGTCATCCCGACGATGAGGCAAGCTGTAGGGAGGTCCAAGGCATCCTGCCAGCTGCAGCCGCCGTGGAGCATCGAGACGGTACCCAGCGCCATCGGACACCATGCCCCCAAGAAGGGTAGCCGCAATCACCGCCACCACCGGCGCCTTCTGCCATAGCCTATCATCGCAACCGCTGCACCGGTTCAAGCACGAAGGGCGCTCAGCGCTGAGGCGTTGGTCTCACGGGGGCGCTGGTGCACGGGCCCACGGCGCTCGACATCGGGATCGCCTCTCCCGACATGTGCGAGCGCAAGACGGGGTACTACGCCCCCTACAGTGACGCTCTGGACCGCCAGAAGATCCTGTACCAGCCCTTAGTCTGGTCAGCCTACGGGCGGCCCCACCCACGGACGACATCCATCCTCCCCGCACTCGCGACCCGCCTTGCCCGGCGGAGGGGATGCTCGGACGGGGCGTGGCGATCCCGCCGCGTGGCCAGCGTGGCTGGCGTGGTGCTGTGCCAGCGGGCGGTTGCCCACGTCAGGGCGTGTTGGCCTGGCGGGGGTGACCTAAGGGCGCCGGGCGCCGGCCAGCCCTCCCCCGCATGCGCGGGCTCCCCCCCTTCCCACCCCCGCCCGCCCCCACCCCAGCACGAGCTCTTAACCAGCGGGGCCAGGTGGCTCACACCCCGCGGCCGTACTCCCCCCAGTGCCCCCTGCTTGCCTGCCTGCTTGCTGCCCCTCTTCCATCCCCCTCTTCTTGCCTCCTCCCCCTCCTCCCTGTCCTCCCTCTTCTCCTGGGCCCGGAAGCCACGCGCTGGCGCGAAGTGTCTTGCTGTGCGCCCGTGCAGGCGCGGCCAGTGCAGTCTTTTCTCCTCCTCCTCTTCCGGCCTTGCATCGTCGTGCAATCGGCAAATGCAATTTAGTCTTGACCTCCTCCGCATTGGCAAGTTCCACAGCTTGAGCGCAGTCCCGCCCCATCGATGGGGAAGCTGGCAATTCTCACCTGCATCCGGGCGGCCCGGAACAAATAAGCGGCGGCCGGTGCCCTCTCCTCCTCGCCCCCCTCGTTCCTTCTCCTCCCGTTGCTCCTCCTGTGGCGCCCCCTCCGCGAGCGAATTCGTCAGCAAGAGTTGATTTCTCGAGCGTGCTCCAGCAGATGGTCCGCATGGGCACCGAAATGCGTGACATTTTCGTTGCGTCCTGAACTGTGGATGCAGGTCTCGCTCTTCGGAGGGTGAGGGCGGCGAGCCTGACGACGAAACCGAGCCGGAACACGGCAGGCTCGCGCCGCGCCGACGCGGCGGGGCGGCGACCCGCCGCTGTCGTGCGACGTTGGAACGCCGCCAGGCGGCCGAGCATCGGCTGCGTGGTGCGAGTCCAGGGTTTTTGCTTCGTGCTCGACAGCGCCGCTCTTGTCCCGCACCGTGGAACCAAGACGCCCGCGCAAAAAAAAAAAAACATTGGGCCAGTTCGCGTGGGTAGACATCGAGATCTTGGACCCGTGGTCTAATGCTTTCCGCCCGGAACGTGCCCCTGTACACTCGGCGTCGAAATCCGAACCCAACCCTCGCCGATCAACGATTCGGGCAACCCGATGGGCGGCTGGTCGAAGACGTGGTGGTCGAAGACGTGGTGAAGGCCGAACCCCTTTCAGGAGACTTGATGGTTTGTAGATGTAGGGCTCGGGATGCAGGAGTCATTTCGATTCCGCTGACTCGAATAGGTTCGGTTTCGAGGATTCCGATGTCGATACGATCCGGCTATGGATTCCAATTTTGTTTGCGGTGGGGTTCGGATGTTGCCATCTACGCACGCCACTCGCTATTCTCTTGGCCAGGCCTCCATCCCCTTCTTTTTGAATGGGCGCGGCTCGTTCTTCCGGCAGGTTGTGGGGGCCTACGGCCGAGTCCGTTTGCGTTTGGTTTATAGGGTTGGGGTTGTCGTTCTTGGCCAGCTTTTCTGGCTTGATTTAGGGCGGATTTAGGGTGAGTCGGTTGAGTGTTTTTGTGCTTTGATGCCGACGATTGTAATGATGGTGGTTATCAAATCGTAGTGTTGATGGTGGTGGCGATGGTGATGGTGATGATGGTGGTGCTCATCGCATCCAGAATCACCATCATCACCATCACCATCATCACCATCACAACCGCCCTCACCATACCATCATCACCATCCCCATCATCATCATCACCACCATCATCATCATCATCACCATCCATACCATCATCATCGCCATCACCATCACCATCGTCACCATTGTGGTCCGTAGGACTTGGCTCAAAATAATGTCGTCGTCCGCTGGGGCGGTTTCCCCGAACCCTCCAGCCTCGTCGTCCTCTCCTTCTTCGAGGACCGCTTCGCCGAGCCCTGCTTCTTCTTCGAGGGCCGCTTCGCCGAGCCCTGCTTCTTCTTCAAGGGCAGCTTCGCCGAGCCCTGCTTCTTCTTCGAGGGCAGCTTCGCCGAGCCAGAGCCCGAGCCCTGCGGCCTCGTCGAGGGCAGCTTCGCCAAGCCGTGGCAGCTGCAACAGCTCGGACGCCGATGCTGACGTAGGGTCCGACGCCGACGGCGCCGACGGAGTTGCCGACGCAGCGGGCCCCGAAGAGGACAGCGGCTCCAACGGCGGTTCCGACAGCGGCTCCGAAGAGGACAGCGGTCCCAGCAACGAGGCAGCCGCGGCTGCAAAAGCGAAGGCGAAGGCCGCCCCGAGCAAAGTAGTCGAGAAGTTCCCGCCTTCGTTGTCCATGACCCTGGAGGAGCACGTCGCCAGCCACGACCGCCCAAAGCACGTCTCCACCTGCGGCGCTTGCAAATTTTGGAAGAACAAGGAGAGGTGGAGCGCCTCGATGTCTGCGACGAATCCAGTAACGCTGAAGAGTGAAACTTGGATAGGCTGCGTTGGTGGTAGATTTGCAGTCTGCTTGTTCTGCTCGGCGTTCAAGGGCGCTCGCTGCAATTCCACCATCGGCCAGGGATCCGCGAGTTTCCAACGCAAGGAACACCTCGTGCGCCATGCACAGTGCGAGGAGCACCAGGCAGCAGAAGCGGCGTGGAAAGAGCGGATTCGAGCGGAAGGTGCGCACCAGGGTCTCCCCGTGTCTGTGTTCTCCACAACGGCTGCATCAGTTGCAGCAGCTGCAACAGCCGTGGCGCCTGCGCCCGCCGTCGTCCGCAACGCCGACCAGCGCCCTGGTTGCCGCGCAGTGGTCGCCACCCGTGCAATGTTGGAGACACCCAGTTCCTTCGGTAGTTTCGACGTGTGGCGGGATGCGTTCGTTGGGGGCGACCGCCAAGTTTTGGAGTCTAGTCGGCAGTGCCGAAGGCTGGCGACCACCATGGCTCAGCACGAGAAGATCATCACGCAGAGGATTCTCAAACATGGTGCTGTTTTTTTTCGTTTGGCTGCGGACGGCCTCGACCGCGCGTGCCAGGTCGAAATTGGCGCCGCGCTGTGGTCGATCCCAAAGGCTTTGGACTTCCTCCCAAGC